GAGCCACGGGGCAGAAGCAGCAGCCTTGATGGCCGCTTTTTCGACCACGTCAGCCTCCCAGTCGTCGACGTCCTCCTGCTCTGCGGGCGGAGCATCAGACTCCTCAGAGGATAACGAAACCAAATCCTCGTCGGCAGGCGGTCCAGAAGGCAACGGTGTAGTCGGAAGAGGAGGGGGAGGAACCGCAGGCGGAGGAGGGGTTGCGACCAGGGGCGAGACCGAGATGTCAGGGAGGCAGTCAGGCGGCAAGGCAGCCGAGTCCAGAGAAGGAAGAACGCCCGAGGGAAGCACCACGGGGAAATCCGGCACGGGAGCCTCAAGACCACGGCCAAGAGGTTGCAGTGGACGAAACCCATTGCGGAAGGCAGCGACCACACGAGCTTGCAGGCGAACCATAGGGATGATATCGTCGCGAGAATAAAGAGCGACGGAGCGGTCGGCCCCCGAGAGACGATGATGTCCCTGGATGCGGCGGGTGTCAGACTCAATGGAGAGCTGACGAGCCCAACTGAGCATGGTGGCTTTGAGAGATTGTGCAGCAATCAGGGAAAAAACAGAAGGCAACGGTTCGCGGGAGTGCAACGACCAGTGCTGGCTGAGCAGGTCGCGGAGCCAGGGCACGAAACTATCGCGGTCCCAGGGCTGAGAAAGAAGTGGGCGGTTCTCGGAGCCAGAGAGGACAGCCGGCAAGAAGTCCAAAGTGCGGGTGGGCTGGAGCGCGAGCGTGTCCGAGACAGCTTGGCGCAAGCACGAAAGGAAGCGGAGTGCCCAGGAAGAGGCGGAAGAGCCGAGGAATCCATGCGCCAGGAGACCCCAAGGCATACCGCGCTTTGTGGTTTTGGTGCGGACGGAGACACCAACCAGCGCCTGCACCGAAAGCTGATATTGGAGACGGGCGGGAGGGACCCAAATAGAGTCCCCCCAACGCAAGGAGGCCCAAACACAGACCAGAACGAAGCCGAGACGGAGCACTTGTGCCGGGGACGTGTTCGGGTCCAAGACGGACTGTTCCAGCCACACGACAAAGGAGAGACTCAACGGAAGGCTNNTGCTCGGCCGGGGCGGAGGCAACAGCGAAGGCCCGGCATAACGGAGAAGACAAGGAGTCGCGCAAGCAAGGGAGGCCGGCAGTTTTGCACATCCAGGCAAGAGCCTTCAAAGGAGCGGTGGCCAAACCCTGTGCGCTGGCACGAGAAGCAATCCAGTCAGGAAGAAAGCCGGGCGGTGGGGACGCCGGGTGGAACCCCGCATGCTCACAATGACGGGACCAAGAAGACCACTGCTCGAAGTAGCGCTCCAGGGTGGAAGGCGCAAATTTCGCAATGGACCGGCACATGTGTGCTTCCGGATTGGAAGAAGACTGGCAATCGGCATACAATGCGGAAGCAGAGGCCAAGGCAAGCACGATAGCAATCCAGCGTGCCAAAAGAGCATTCATAGCCAACTG